GCCCCCTTCTCTTATAAAAAAAAAAAAAAAAGTAAAATCCAAAGGAATTGTTACGCCTGCTGAAATGAATTAGCAAATTTTTGTAATAGAAATTTTTGTTATTTTTCTAATTTCTCATCATCCTTTTGAAGTTATTGCCGCAGCTGGTTACGACTTCCTTGTTCAGTAAATCTTGTAGTTCCTAGGAAGCCTACTTTCATTGGCGTTGATGCGTTAAATTTTAGCTACGCTCATTTATATTTTATTTTTAAGAAAAAAGCATGTTAATTTAAAAAGTTTTTTTAAATAAAAGGAAATTGTATTCGCTTATAACAATGAACTACCGTGAATATAAAGTAGAAACGTTCATAAAGTGCACAAGATTAATTTCTCCACGATACATATACTAGGAAATAGCGCAATTCTTTTATGAGATATTCCTTATAAAAGTCAATTGACACAGATAATTTATACCCCTGGATGTGCATTAGTTACTCGTATGTGTTACTTTTTCTAACTTAAAAGAGTAACTTAAATATAAGGACAGTTTACTTTCTATATTTTTTAAAGTCAGTTGCATTCACGTTTTTAACGGCTAACTAAATTCGTATTAAAACAATGTCATTAAACTCTTTCTGGGATATTACGCAATTTATCGTATAAACATTTCAACAGTCTGAATCTATGATGGAAGAAGTCAATACATAAAAGATATCGTTAATTTCTAAGAAATCTGTTCCGCTAATATGAACACTATACAGACTTGGGTTTCCCGAAATCGCAATCCCAATTTTCACAAAGATATTCAAGGCAATTTTGAGTAAGGATTTATTCAGAGAAATCAATTGTAACTCATAATTATTTCTACGCAGTATTCTATATCAAAGTTGCTTTTACTGATAAAATACGGTAAGGAAGATTCCAGATATTTTATCTTTATATCAAATATACTACAAGAATCAAGACATATAAAAGGGATTGTTACTGAAATTTGTCGAATTTTGTGAGCCGATTGACTTAGAAGCAAACAACAAAGTGATTATTATTGTTAATGAAATTATTATAGAATCCGAAGAAAAGGGATTTCGTGGAACGTTCTAGAAAATCGATGGGTCATAACCGTATTACAAGAATTAGTTCCGAATAAGAGCAACAACTAAAATCACGTAGTCGAATCCAATTCGAATTAAAAAAAATCCCACTAATTACAAGTATTCCAAAAAAAATGTTAAATCAAATTATTATTCTGGAACTTTCTATTTGAATGGTAAAATGTTACATGATAATGAAGACGTAGCAACGTCGTTCTTGAACAAGACAATAACGCAATATGACATCTCAAATGTCCGTCAGATCAGTGAGAACTGTATATCGAGTTACTTAGTAAGATTTGCCTGTAAAACATTTATCAGCCACATATATTCTCAGTTTCAATTCTCTCTTGTATTAATTACCGCATATAAAAATAATTTAAAAAATTAACAATCTATCGGCTACTAAAGCCCTAACTTAAAAAACTTATACGTTAATGTTGTGGTTAAACATTGATTTACATAATTTAGTTTAAAATGTACTTATATTGAAAATATATATCCGTCTTTATTTATTCAAAAAGAACGTGAGAGATGCCAATATTTTAGTTCGCGTTACCCGTGGCAACGCACTTCAGAGGGTCTATCACGAATAAGTGCGTAACAGTTGCAAGGATGTATTACTAAACAAATCCAATACAAATTTTGTCGACTTCGTTACGATAATGTTCTCACGATTACTCGAGATAGACCCTCAGTAATTAAAATGCTGCAAAACGCAACTTCATGTCGATTTCTTGTTATCTTTGTGGGTGTGTTCTGGATGACGCCACCTTTGCACTCACACATGCACACACTTGTCTATATTGTGCCTGTGTGCGTAATGATAAGATACACAGAGGCTACATACAATTCAGGATTATTAGTCACTTTAAAATTAGCACATTAA